CTTATGCTGAGCTGGGAATGTCAAATCCATAATATCATTTCCTGACAGATCTGACATGTGATCTTTGAACTGGATGGGGCATTTTGATAACTAGGCTATACAATAATCAATAAGGCGATAATCAGCTGATCCATGGACATAGACTCGATCGTTGGTCATTTGCTCTGGTGTCACTGATGAAGAGCCTGACGAGGTCACCTTTTGACATAAATACGTCAGAGGTGAGACATTCCGTTTCAATAAAAGGCTCCGGATCCCAGGAGCATCAGAAGACCAGGAGTAAAGAAGCAGCAGGGATATTAACCTACTAGTGGTTTTACTCTTTTTTTCATAAATATATACATGCACGTGTTTGTATTTATATATACATAATAAAAATTCACAGTATACACATATATATTGTGTAAACAAAAACTTTTATTTTGGAGGCGATTAATCGCGATTAATTGTTTGACAGCACTAATATATATCTATATATCTATATATATATATATATATTAAATTGTAATAACATTTCACATTATTTTTTTCACTTCAAAGCTCACTCAAACATGAAGGAAACGCCTAAGTTTTCAGTTTTTGATCATTTTATTTTTGTGCTGCCCTATTGAAATTCATCTGTGTGACTGTTAACCGTTCATTCCTGTTATTCCAGCTTGAATTCTTCACCAATTCATTTCAAATTCCAAATCAAAAGCAAATTCACACATTTAGAATTCAACTCTGACTTTTACTAGTAGCTGAACCCATCAAATTAGTCAAAATATAATAAACAGACACATAAAGGACAAGTAATGTATATACCGTGCAATTCTGAATAACCATCTCTGTAGGTTTTAGGCGAATAAGACCCAAAAAACTGCTGTTCACCTAACATAACTTGACTGCAAGACTAATTTTCAAATTTGTACTTCACCCTGCAGAAATGGGAGCTCTCGACAGTCTGCCTTCCTCTCTCACGTCAGAGGAAATAAGTCAACCCTAATTCTGACCGAATCCAGCATTGACACACCGTGACCTCCACCGCGCCCGGCTGAAATCGCTCTCAGAGGCTGTATTAACGTTCAAAGTCTTCTCCACCACACTAACCTGTCAATATTACCACGTAACTTTAATCTGTCAGAATCACTTGACGGCTGATGTGGAGATGGATTCAAAAAATAAAACTCATAAATGGCATTCGACTCACCTTATTGTCTGTCTTATTATCTTTTATTTTATATTCATAGAAAAGGCAATATCCATGACAGACTATTACTTTTTTATTTTCAAAGTATAAACATACCCATGTAACCTTTCATAACAATTCAGTTCTCCTAAGACCTAAGGTTACTTCACTATTTTACTTCTTGATTCGTACATACAGGTGGAAACATGAATAATTTATATTGCAGGCTGTAGCTTCTCAGCGGTCATCTGGCACTCGGACAATATGGAGATCACCAGGGTAAGCTTTTTCCAGTGTAGTCCACATATCCAACCATGATGTTTCTCCGTTAATCCAGAAATGACAGACGACACTGATGATATGCTCTCCTCTGGGCTCAAAGGAGCCTTCAAATGCAAGAAAATGGGTTAAAACAAAGTCATGTATTTCAAGACAATTGAAAAACACATTCAGACTCACCATTGGTCCGGCCATATCAGTGCACACCCAACCAGGGCGATGCACAAAATCTTCTCAGTTTCCAGATCAGTAGCCAAACACCTCGTAACCATATTCAAAGCACTCCTGAATATGTCAAAAATCAAAGTTGAGTATGTAGAAGTTCATCATTTTTCCCACCATGCAACTAAGCAGGTGTTTTTACCTTAGATGCCCTGTATGCGTAGCTCTTGCAGCTCGCGCCCTCGCCCCAGTTGAGCTGCACAGATCCCAGGATGGACGACACATTGATCACTGTCACTGTCTTCAGCTGCCGCCCTTCTCAACAATGGCAGGAAAGCCTGAAAAAGATGATGGGTATTCAATAAAGAGGAACTTTTGATTTCAATGAATACATACTGAAAATAAAATACCAATAAGAAAGTATATAAGAGCGTTAGATTATAGTTGCCTGTGGATGGTAATTAATCCAGTCATATTATCTTGGTCACAAAGAGAAGAGCCACTGTGTTACTCTCATGGGTTTTCATCATGGCATCTCGAGTGACTGAGTCCAGTTCAGTCGTCATGTTAATCGCCGCATTATTAATTAAGCAGTTCAATCCATCAGCACCCACAATGGATTCCACTGCCTGTGCTGCTGCATCCACACTGCTGTCACTGGTGACATCTGAAATAATAAAGACGGATTTGTGAATCCATTTGATTTGGTTCATGAAAAAGAAGCAACTCAAGAGACCGATTTGCTTCCAGATCAAACATCTCAATGGCTTATTTATCTACTCAAAAGAAATAAATAACCAATGAAATGTTTTACAGAAGAGCATAACTAGAAAACTGTTTATTCACTCTAAAACTTTCTATTACTTATTCAGGACCAGTGTTATGATTGTTAACTAAAACTATTAAAAGTCATTGAAATACACAACATGGAAAGTAACTTAAGTAAAAAAAAATGTAAAAAAGCTTGAAAAAAAAGTAAATGGCATCACTAAATGACAAAAACACTAAAATGCACATAACAAATTACTAAAACTGAATATGAAAATATATTAAAATGCTCATTTAAAACCTTAATATATACTATAATAATTCAAAAATGATTTCCAGAAATGTTTGAATCCTATAGATAACAATTACACTAATATAATTTGTACTTTATATATATATTATATAGAGTTTGACAGGGAATATATAGTTTAATGTGGAAATTAAAAAGTACATTTGTCAACGTCAATAAGAATCACATTTATTTGTCCTTTCTCTCCACCTACTGGACATATATAACAATTGCACCTCACTAATATTTTAATATGATTTATTTATGTATTTTGTGGATGTTTGGTGGTATTTAAAATACAACATTGTATTAAATATTAAATAATAATACATTTGAATACACACTTTGAGAAGTTGATCTTCATCTTCAAGTCATAGGAGCAGTCCAGCTGGAGGCGGGGTTAGTTTCATAAGCGGCCAAAATTCAAACATTAACCAGATTTAACTTAATGTGGATAGGCGGTGTTGGGGGTAACGCATTACAAGTAACGCGAGTTACGTAATCAGATTACTTTTTTCAAGTAACTAGTAAAGTAACGCATTACTTTTTAATTTACAAGAGAATATCTGAGTTACTTTTTCAAATAAGTAACGCAAGTTACTTTTTTTCCAATGTATTGATTGACAGCTCTCCTGTCCCCATGATGAGAGAAATCATGTTACTGTAGTTCTGAAATAAATATGAATATGCATTAATTCATCTCACTCACAAAAAACACACAGATTCAGTATTCCTCAAAATGAATAAAAATAATGCAACTCAGAATATGACGCAAACCTGCAATAATTAAATGTTAAACCACACAAATATGCTTTATGTATTTAATCCCATTCTATTAACCAATGTCTTTGCTTCTGACCTTCGATGATCCAGTTCAACCGTACTAATCAGCACAAATGTACTTTCCCTTCAGCCTGAGGCTTATTCATTTCACTTTTGGTGTGAAAAGGCTTTTATATTTGCCAAAAATAGAACTTTTTTATTTTAAAAACAAACAAGCAAGCCCTGTCCAGATTTGAAAAGTAACGCAAAAGTAACGTAACGCATTACTTTCCATAAAAAGTAACTAAGTAACGAAATTAGTTACTTTTTATGGAGTAACGCAATATTGTAATGCATTACTTTTAAAAGTAACTTTCCCCAACGCGTTAGAAATGTGAGGGGGAAGCTAACGCTGCTACATTCTCTCGCATTAGTAAAACACATCGTTAAAACACATCGTAAAAATATATTGTTTACAAAGCGGATTTACAAAATAAAACCAAAGTCCCTTTAAGATATAAGGTATTATATTTGACAAAACATAATTATGTGAAATAGAGAGGCACGCGACCTCGCGCGGTTTTTGCTGTTAATGTGCGTGAGCTCAAATCCTGTTCTTTTCGCGCATTTTACAGTATCTGTAATATGTTGAAAACTCTTATACAGTCTCAGATAAGTTAATTTTGTTATGTTAAACGGTAAAAAAAAAAACCCCACTACGCACTTAGTTATCTGGTAAGTGTAACATAATGTCAGCAGATTTGATATTTGATTAATATCTTGAGGTGGACGAATGATTACGTTAGCTAAATCGCTAACATAACCAGATCACCTCAAAGTAAATAAACTAAACATCTTATTTAAATATTTGGTTATCTATGTTTATTTTATGTTAGATACATTTTATAGCTTTTTCACTATACACAAAATAAATATATTAACAATGGAATAGTTTACTGAAGAGGATAACTAGAAAAAAATGTATATTTACTATACAGTACAACTTTCCATTACTTAGTCGGGACCAGTGTTGTTGTTTTTTCCACACACACACACACACACACACACACACACACACACATACACACACACACACACACACAGGTTTGTTTTTATGGTTTATGAGGACTCTCCATAGGTGTAATGGTTTTTACACTGTACAGACCCTATATTCTATTGCCCTACACCAACCCTACCCCTAAACCTACCCTTCACAGGAAACTTTCTGCATTTTTAGAAACTTAATTCTGTATGATTTATAAGCTTTTGTACCCGTGGGGACCACAATTTAGGTCCCCACCGTGACATGAGTCCCCATGAGTCTGTGTGTATTCAGGTTTAAGTCCCCACCAGAATATATAAACCAGTACACACACACACACACACATAATTGAAATAAAATATATATCTTAGATGACAATTCAAAATGAATAAAAATGACAAAAATACAGAATTGCTCAAATTAAATTAAAATGAAGTCTGCTTTGTAACTTTTTTTTGTACAGCATCTGTAGATTAACATTCTGTTCTCTTACATGCCTGTGTGATTCCAGCGCCATCTAGAGCAGGAGAATGAATGAGTTGGAGGACCAAGAGTACAGCTACAAAAGAGAGTTCTCTGAAGGGTCTCTTGTTCCTTTACACCACACCCATGAAAGTCCTAGAATGGCAAATCTCATCGGTCATGGGATGCATTCAGTACTGGGATACTCCAGGATGGAAGAATCCCTGCGGGAGGATGACTACCCCACTTACAGGATTCTTCATCCACTAACATGTGATCCTTTGCCTCCAGTAGCCCACTTTAGCTCAGCGTCCTATCCTGAATATTTAGTGGCTCAGTCTAACCATTATCAGCATGTACTAGGCCAACCGTACAGCTCCTGGCCATCCCAGGAGGCTTTTCATTACGCCATGTCATCAGTGAGTGTGCACAAATCGAAAGTATTTGCTATGTGAAATATGAAATCTCATTTAAGAGTCAGAACCAAACACATAATGCATTTCCAGTGATTAGGTTAGGTCTTTAACTCATTAAATTGTTGATTTCTTTCTATCATAGGGAGCTGTCACCAGTATCAGCTCTGATGGTGCAGATGTTTACAGTCTGGAGGGTTATTCTACACATCAAGGATTTAGACATCATGATGTAATGTGCAATCTGAAGATGTTTGTGTTGTGTATGTGAAGCTTGGGTTCAAAGGGACTTAATGGATTCTTTTTATATAATTTTCCAGAGAATTCAGCCCCATGCTCTTCTTGTGTCGCCTCATGACCAGAAGCTTCCAGCTGAGACGTCCAATATTTTTCAGGTATCATCTCTCTCAAATGCCTTATTATTGCAATATATATTATTGCCACACACACACACACACACACACACACACACACACAGGTTTACATTTGTGAAAAGTGGGGACATCCCATAGGCGTAATGGTTTTTATACTGTACAGACCGTATATTCTATTGCCCTTTACCAACCCTACCCCTAAACCTACCCCTTACAGGAAACTTTGTGCTATTTCAGATTTTCAATACACTCCATTCTGTGTGATTTATAAGTGTTTTGAAAAGTGGGGACATGGGGTAATGTCCTGAAAAGTCACCTTCTCCTTGTAATACCTATGTCATACCTTTGTCATTATACACATTTATGTCCTCATTTGTCACAAAAACACGTACACACACACACACACACACACACACACACACACACACACACGTCCTCATTATTCTCTCAAAAAAGAAACAAAAAATGGTCAAACAAAATCAGTCATGGGTCAAACATCTATAGTATAATAAAATATTTGCCATTTTATGTGGTTTTCAAAAAAAAAAAATCATCAATGAATGGACAAAAGATCCTTGATTTATCCAAACAATAAAATACCTGTTTTTTTACAATCATTATATTTGCATTTTCATTTGATGCCACTAGTCAGAAATTACACACTCATCACTCATGTTTTTGTTTGAGTGTCAGGGGCAGATTGTGCCAGATCTTTGATAAATATAAATGAAGCCATTTCAAAAGTGATGAAACAGGCCATCTGCTTGGAGATGTTACAGCCAGTGCAGGTTGTGTGTGATGTGACCGGTGGAGGGCAGGTCGTCGTGCTGAACCATTGCAGTCCCATTCAGATTCACAGAGTCTCTGCCAAAGCCATCTGACCAGAGCTACTCTACTGAGGACCACTCACCCACTGGAAAAGGTGAAACCTGAATACACTATCATGGTCATTTTCCATGCTCCTTAGAGTTGAACAGACCTTATTTCTTGCTGTACCTATCAGCCTTCTTTATAAATAATAAAGAAAAAGAGTTGTTGTTGTTCATCAGGCTAGAAAAGGAATCCATGAATCCTGAGTCAAGACAAACTGTGTACAAATGGAGGAAATTCAAGATCATTGTAATAGTCCATGAGGTTACAAATGAACCCAGAGTAACTTCTAAGCAACTAAAGGCCTCTCTCAAGTTGGCTAATATTAATGTTCATGAGTCCACCATTAGGACAACACTGAATAACTATGGTGTGCATGGCAGAGTTGAGAAAGCCACTGCTCTCCAAAAATAACTTAGCTGCCTGTCTGCAGTTTGCTAAAGATCATGTGGACAAGTCAGAGGACTAATGGAAAAATGTTTTGTGGATGGATGAGACCAAAATAGCACTTTTTGGTTTAAATGAGAAGCGTTATGTTTGGAGAAAGGAAAACACTGCATTCTAGCATAAGAACCTTATCCCATCTGTGAAACATGGCAATGGTGGCCTGTTTTACTGCATCTGGGCCAGGACAGCTTGCCATCATTGATGGAACAATGGGTTCTGAATTATACCAGTGAATTCTAAAGAAAAATGTCAGAACATCTGTCCGAGAACTGAATCTCAAGAGAAAGTGGTTCGTGCAGGAAGACAACGACCCCAAGCACACAATTCGTTCTACCAATAAATGAAGAAGAACGAAGTTAATGTTTTGGAATGGCCGAGTCAAAGTCCAAAACTCAATCCTGTTGTGGAAGGACCTGAAGTTAAATTTATTTTAAATTAATAAATCACATTTTTACCTTTTTTTTTTTTAGCTTCATCAGGCGCTTTGCCCTTCTCAGATTGTAGAACAGGAAGAGGAGGGGCAGACCAAAGGACATAGACGGTGCGAGTGTCATTACTGTAAAACCTCACAGCTCTCATGTTCATTCTAGACAACTCAACTGCAATGTTTGTAAAACAGTTTAAATTATGGCATAACTATTCTTTGTTTATTAGTGTGAAGTGGGAAAAATCAAAGCGACCTTGCAACTGCACAAAATCTCAGTGTCTGAAACTGTAAGTATTTTTTTTAAGCCTTTATTTTTATCAGATGTTACCTCTGACCGCTATTAACAACTTTATTTGTTTTGGTCATGATGACTGATGCTTCTGTACAAAAATAACTGCTTTGTCCTGACCATGAAAAATAAGCTCTTACCAAACAATTTCTTTGGCAGTTATTGTGAATGTTTTGCGAACGGAGATGTTTGCAACAACTGCAAATGCTTAAACTGCTACAATAATACTGAACATTACTTGGAGAGATTCCAGGCTATAAAGGTCAACCACATGACAGAAACCTCTTCAAATAAACCAACTTAAATGATCTCTTTGACTAGATGCCACTGATAAACCTATTATATTCCACACTTTTATTGCTCTTTAGGCCTGTCTGGACAGGAATCCAGGGGCTTTTCGGCCTAAGATTGGCAGTAGGAAACAGGGGAATGTGAAGGGATGTCACACAAAAGGCTGCAACTGCAAGCATTCAGGTTGCCTAAAGAACTACTGCGAGTGTTATGAGGTAAGCTGACCTGATGTGTGATGTATTTTCAGTAGTGTAATTATTAGGAGCCACTTTACACTGTAATTCAGTGTAAAGTGGTAAAATAATGCACGTCCACCTGCAAGTGTGTGGGCTGCCGAAACTATGAGGAAAGCCCTTCGAAGAAGAGCTTTGAGCAGGACAGGCCAGACTCCAGCATCTACTACCTGATCAGGTACATGTGAGACCACTGTAATACTGTAATCATGTAAAAACAGCAAAATAATCAATAATTTTGTTTGTGTTTTTTTTAATTTCATTTCTTAAAAATACAATTAAAATGAAAACACTAGGAACTGTAGGCTTGTCTTGTCAAAAATGAGCAGATTAGATGTATATTCTTGTTACTGCAAAGCTTAATGTTCAGCAGTCATTACTCCAATATTCAGTGTTACGTGATCCTTCAGAAATCATTCAAATATACTGATTTGGTATTTTTTTCAGAATTCTTTGATGTATAGAAAGTTCACTGAACAGCATTTATTTGAAATTTTTTTTTGTAACATTATAAATGTCTTTACTGTCCTTTTGATCAGTTTAATGCTTCCTTGTTGAATAAATGTCTTTCTTTCTTTCTTTCTTTCTTTCTTTCTTTCATACTTACCCCAAACTTTTGAATGGGAATGTATCATGGTTTCCTTTCCATAAACATAAAGCATAAAAAGCAGCACAACTGTTGAGCAGCAAATCAACATATTAGAATGATTTCTGAAAGATCATGTGACACTGAAGACTGGAGTAATGATGCTGAAAATTCAGCTTTACTATCACATAAATAAATTACATTTTAAAATACATTTAATCAGAAAACAGTTATTTAAAAATTTTAATAATATTTTGTAATACTACTGTATTTACTGAGAGATATATATATACAGTGGGTACGGAAAGTATTCAGACCCCCTTAAATTTTTCACTCTTTGTTATATTGGTAATATATAGATACACCTCACTTCCGCTATATTGTGTGACAATGTGGTCTTTTAGTAGGCGTTTCCCTCCCACCTCCACTTCCTCTGCACTGGCTGTGACACTGCAAGCTCATATGCAATTAGAGTCACTCACAACAATAAGTGGAACTGTCAGCGATGTCATGTCTATTATATTTTAAGAGTAAAAATAAGGGCCCAAGACTTTCAAGGTTGGTCCTTAGTAGATCATGTGAATCAAGAGGCCTTCAGTGTCACTTTCAAGATTGATTGGATATGGATTTCTGTGAACTGTTAGCCCACATTTATAGCATCACTGTAAACTAACCGAACGAGATTGAGGTTACAGGCTACTGCTTGTGTCGTGCTTTGTTGGTTGTTTTTCAAATGGTAGTAAATGAGAGCAGTAGGGTTTTGTTATTCCTTTGGTCACTGAGGGTGTCTCTGTTGATAGGAGTCCTCTGGTGTGCATCACGCCTGATGTCGTGGAAGCCACATGCGGCTGTCTCCTCGTCCAGGCTGAAGAGGCTGAGAAGGAAGGGTACACTTCGGCTCACGCTGAGAGAGTGATTTTGGAGGAGTTTGGCCAGTGCTTGACGCAGATTGTCCGATCAATATTCAAATCCACCAGCATGCAATTAAATGAGTAGCTGGGGAACAAATGCTCAGTGTTACAATCAATCCAGATGTGCTTTGGTTACCAACAAGTGTTTGTTTTCATTTACTTTAACATTAGGAGATGCTTTAAAAATTCACATCCTCACGACTTTAATAGCACATTTTATTTATAGTTATTTAAATATACAGTATATATATTTTTACTATTATTTATTGTTTGTTTGTTCCTTTATTTTCTTTTCATTCCCACCACGTCACATCTGCAGGATTTTTAATTATATTTAATTACATTATCTAAAAATTATCAATAGCCAAAAATCTTCTATTGCCAAAAAAAGCAACATCTTTGACAAAACCTTACTTTTAAACAATTTGAACAGGAGCAATGTTCACATGTTTTTTCTACATTACCTGTTGCTTGTTCTGGAAAGTTTTATCCTGTTCGGAAGCTTGATCTCGGTTCAAGCATTACAAATTTAGCGTGGCATTTTCATTTTGTCATCTGTGGTTGTTTTTCTGTAATGGAGCTGTCACTGTGTTTATGCATCAGTGACTTTTTTCTGTGTCAGTATTTATTTATTTATTGAAATATAAATGGTATGTTACTTAAAAATGATTAAAATATTTATTATTATATACTTTATTTCCATTCATTCCCACCACTTCACACCTGAATGATTTTAAATGAACATTTTATTCATATTTATATATATTTAGTAACACTTTACAATAAGGTTCCATTAATTAATGTTAGTTAATGTATTAACTAACATGAACAAACAATGAACAATACATTTATTACAGTATTTATTAATCTTTGTTAATGGAAATACAGTAGTTCATGCTGATTCACAGTGCATTAACTAATGTTAACTAACACAACTTTTGATTTTAATAATGCATTAGTAAATGTTGAAATTAATATTAATAAGATTAATAAATGCTGTAGAAGTAGTGTTCATGCTTAGTTCATGTTAACTAAAGTAGTTAACCTTATTGTAAAGTGTTACCATATATTTTAATATAAATGTTACTTAAATATTATTTTAATTTTTACTATTATTTATATTACCACATTACCTGTTGCTTGTCCTGAATGTTTTTACTGACCCGGAAACTTGATCTCGGTTCTTGTGTCAGGGAATTTCGGTCAGGTTCTCAGTGCAGTCATTTCTATGCATTAGAAATTTAGTGTGGCATTTTCATTTTGTCATTTGTGGATGTTTTTCTGTAATGGAGCTGTCACTGTGTTTATGCATCAGTTACTTTTTTTCTGTGTCAGTATTTATTTATTTAAATATAAATGTATGTTACTTGAAAATTAAAATATTTATTATTACTTATATATATTTTTTATATTTCCATTCATTCCCACCACTTCACATCTGAATGATTTTAATTGAACAGTTTATTCATATTTATATATTTTAATATAAATGTTATTTAAATATTATTTTAATTTTTAATATAGTTTATATTACCACATAACCTGCTGCTTGCCCTGAAACCTTGTTTACTGTTAGAAAACTTGATCTTGGTTCTTGTGTCAGGGAATTTCGAACAGGTTCTCACTGCAGTCATTCCATGCATTAGAGATTTAATGTGGCATTTTCATTTTGTTTATTTTCTGTAATGGAGCTGTCACTGTGTTCATGCATCGGTGACTTTTTTTCTGTTCCAGTGAGATATATATAAATTGACTGACATCCTGCTCTTTTTTTAAATCATTCCATTTCTTACATTTTTATCTTAACACTTACCAAATCCCACTTTAGTTCAAATTTGACATCGCCTTTTATGCAAGCAACTCAGTTCGGATTCAAGGTTGAGACACTTTTAGGAGAAACATGTGTTTTTCCTCATGTGTAGAATTTTAGAGACACAGCTGTAGGGTAAACCTCACCGTATTGATTTTCATTATGGCAGATGCTCTTGACGTCAGGCGTTTGTGCAGGTTAATGTAGAGAGCGTTCCTTATTGTAAAGTGTTACTATATATTTTAATATAAATGTTACTTAAATATTATTTTAATTTTTACTATTATTTATATTACCACATTACCTGTTGCTTGTCCTGAATGTTTTTACTGACCCGGAAACTTGATCTCGGTTCTTGTGTCAGGGAATTTCGGTCAGGTTCTCAGTGCAGTCATTTCTATGCATTAGAAATTTAGTGTGGCATTTTCATTTTGTCATTTGTGGATGTTTTTCTGTAATGGAGCTGTCACTGTGTTCACGCATCAGTGACTTTTTTTTCTGATCCAGTGATGCATATAAATCGATTGACATCCTGCTCTTTTTTTTTTTTTTTAAATCGTTCCATTTCTTACATTTTTATCTTAACACCTTCCAAATCCTACTTTAGTTAATAAAAGGGTTAATTTGACATCACCTTTTATGCAAGCAACTCGGTTCAAGCCATTTTGGATTCAAGGTTGAGACACTTACGAAAAACATGAGTGTTTTACTCATGTCGAATTTTACAGACACGGCTGTAGGGTAAACCTCACCGTATTGATTTTCATTATGGCAGATGCTCTTGACGTCAGGCTTTTGTGCAGGTTAATGTAGAGAGCGTTCCCATGATAGGACAAGGTGCAAGCAAGTGATGTCCCTCGCAGGGGGTTGTATCGAACATTGGGTCCTGTTGTTAAAGAAGGACATAAATAGAGGAGTAGAGAACTGGACCGTTCAGATTTGTTTAGTTCTTCTGATCAAAAACGACCTTTTATGCAAGCAACTCGGTTCAAGCCATTTTGGATTCAAGGTTGAGACACTTACGAAAAACATGAGTGTTTTACTCATGTCGAATTTTAGAGACACGGCTGTAGGGTAAACCTCACCGTATTGATTTTCATTATGGCAGATGCTCTTGACGTCAGGCTTTTGTGCAGGTTAATGTAGAGAGCGTTCCCATGATAGGACAAGGTGCAAGCAAGTGATGTCCCTCGCAGGGGGTTGTATCGAACCTTGGGTCCTGTTGTTAAAGAAGGACATAAATAGAGGAGTAGAGAACTGGACCGTTCAGATTTGTTTAGTTCTTCTGATCAAAAACGATTCTTGATCCGACAAAAATGGTAAATATGCATATACATATTTTTATGTGCATACATTAGCATAGAATACCAAATGATTTTTCATCTGTTTTCTCTACATAGATATCAAGAATGTGGATTTTATGGACGTGCACAGTGATATTTTTACTGATGAGGGAGTATCATTGCATTCAGAAGGTACTTTTTAAAAAATATGTAATACCTTTGTTTATTACAATTATGTTTTGCTGTTTCTTTTACTTATTTACCGTTCATGTCTTTTAATAGACCACATTATCCAAGAACTGGGGACCACAGTCAATGCTTTACCTAAAGGGAAAATGTGAGTGTTGTCTGGTCTCCCTCATACTCTTCAAGTAATCAAATCAATTACCTGTTAATGCCGATCCTGAGTGTTTGTTTTAGCTGATAATATTCTGTTTGAAACTGTGATATGAATATAAGAGCCCAGATTTTGATTTCTTGCAGTATTCGTATTGAATTTCCTTCCCCCCCCCAGATGGAAGACGATTTGTTCCTGACATTGATGACATTATTTCAAGTTCAGGGTTGAAAAGCTGGTACGCAGTTCTCAAAGGTGTGGATCGAGATAATTCCTTAACGTGTGAAATGGTTGCAGATACTACAGGTGAATGAAGTTCTTGAGTTGCTTTACCTTTCATAATCCTGACCGGTGTGTTTTCTTTAAGGGTTTCAGAAATTGAAGTCGCTGAATGCAAGAAAACAATCAGGATTGTTCAAAACGCAGAACTTTGTTATCCGTTAACTGAAGTGAAAAGTTTTCACAGCTAACAAGGAACATTCTCAGAAGGTTCTTGCAAAGTTCTCTCAAACGTTATGAACAGACATTCTTCCAGTAGCATTAATAGGACATTTGTTCAAATTCATCTGGTCTTTAATAATGTTATCAAAACATTCGCACTAAATTGTTGTTTATACATTGTTCATGAAACAATTCTCTGAAACATTTTAGTTGGACATTACACTCTTAAAAATAAAGGTGCTTCACGATGCCATAGAAGAACCGTTTTGTCTAAATGGTTCCATAAAGAACCTTTAACATCTGAAGAACCTTTCTGTTTCACAAAAGCTTCTTTGGGGCGAAAGAAGGTTCTTCAGATTATAAAAAGGCAAGAAAGAGATGGTTCTTTAAAGAACCTTTGACTGAATGGTTCTTTGTGGAACCAAAAATGGTTCTTCTATGGCATCGCTTGAAGAACCTTTTGAAGCACCTTTATTTTTAAGAATGTACTTGTTGAAGAACATTCAAAAATAACATTCCCATAATGTTTGCAAAATTATAACATTAGCATGTACATATAGAACGTTATTTTAATGCTTCTCTGATGTCAACTTATCCAAGAAAAAAAACTTTTTTTAAAACATTTAGACATTATGAGAACATTTATAAATAATGTTTTCATAACTTAATGGGAGTGTCAACAAAACTTAGAACGTCTTTTTGTTAGCTGGGTCTGTACAGTGTGCCATATTTTGTAATGTTTAAGATTCAGAATAAATCTATTTATGTCAAATATCTGGGGGGAAAAGAACTGTTTATTTTGGTCTGCTGTTAAGTTGTATTGTTCTGACATTAAACTGTCTAGCTTTATAATCTTTAGGAATTCACAATTAAGATGGAATATCCCAATGTTCTAACAGTGTTGCCAGTCATATTTTATAAATAAAACTACTTTGGTTTGATGTGTTAACAGAAAACATTCACAGTGACGCTGAATTATATCCTAAGTTGTCATATATGGTTATTTTATGCATCCACGTTTCAGTTGCTTTACACTTTCTCAATAAACTGAGGTACTTCAGATGACCTTAAATGCCTCCGACTCTCAGCCAAAGTCCAACAGCTGCAAAAAGAGAGATCAGGTCATGTGAGCCAGCCGTGTCGCTTGATCAGAGAGCAATGGCTCCTTTCACTGCCCTCATGTGCTTCAGTGTGTTCAATGAAAACACTGGGAGACATTCTCTCAATATGTGTCTGTTTAACAGCGAAAATTAATTTATAAGCTCTGCAAAGTAAGTTCATATTTCTCTGTCTGTCACCATGCCTTTAGCCAGTTTTACTTTCTCAGGGTCGCATAACCTTGCAGCAAGCCATTCTGAATATGTTTGTGTTGTAATTTGAGCAAGTATTTGTATGAAAGGACTAAGATATATGCTCTGGTAAAGCTCAGGCACTTTAACATGATCAATTATTGCTTGATTGTTTACACAGTGGCAGGGAAATTACCTTACAGGATGCAAATAAGCGGTTATGATCACAAACTAATGCATGAAAACATTACAAAATTCATCAAATCCGTTACTAATATTTGCTCATGTTTGTACTGTTTTCCCACTAAATATGATGTCACTTCCTAGATGATAATGTAATTAAAGGATTCGATCCAAATTCACACCTGCAGTTAGGTTTGATTAAAAACAATGTTTTCATCCTTAAACGTTTGAGTATATTTATCCAATACGCTAAACACACTACTGTACAAAAGTTTGACGTCTGTAAGAATTTTTTTTTAATCTTGTGCTCACCAAGGCTACATTTATTTGATCAAAATACAGTAAAAATAGTAATACCGTGAAATAGTTTGGCAATTTGAAATGCCAATTTGATGCTAGAAAAGCCCTATTATTATCAATGGTGAAAACAGTTATGCTGCTATTATTTTTTTATAAAAATCTAAAGTTTTTTTTTTCTTGCTCAATAAAAGCATTCATTTCTTTCAAAACCGGTAATGATGGTGACATTGCTTATATATCCACAGTGTTGGGGAAAGTTACTTTTAAAAGTAATGCGTTACAATATTGCGTTACTCCATAAAAAAGTAACTAATTATGTTACTTAGTTACTTTTTATGGAAAGTAATGCGTTACGTTACTTTTGCATAACTTTTAAAATCTGGACAGGGCTTGCTTGTTTGTTTTTAAAATAAAAAAGTTATATTTTTGGCAAATATAAAAGCCTTTTCACACCAAAAGTGAAATGATTAAGCCTCAGGCTGAAGGGAAAGTACATTTACATCCGTACAGTAGAATGCAGAAGAAGACATTTCAACACACTTCAGCAATAAAAAAAGTTGTCTTGAGTAATTTGTGCTGATTAGTACGGTTGAACTGGATCATCGAAGGTCAGAAGCAAAGACATTGCTTAATAGAATGGGATTAAATACATAACGCATATTTGTGTTGTTTAATATTTAATTATTGCAAGTTTGCGTCATATTCTGAGTCGCATTATTTTTATTCATTTTGAGGAATACTGAATCTGTGTGTTTTTTGTGTGTGTGAGTGAGATGAATAAATGCATATTCATATTTATTTAGAACTACATTAACATCTGATTTCTCTCAACATGGGGACAGGAGAGCTGTCAATCAATAAATTGAAAAAAAAAAAAGTATTATTTTTTTGAAAAAGTAACTCAGATATTCTCTTGTAAATTAAAAAGTAATGCATTACTTTACTAGTTACTTGAAAAAGTAATCTGATTACGTAACTCGCGTTACTTGTAATGCCTCACCCCCAACACTGTCTACCAATAGCTCTATCTTCTGGTACATTACTGGTGAGGCAGAAGGAACTCTGAACCAGTGGTTGTGGGTTACCAAGGTTAACAGTTCCTTGTTGAACAAGTTCAAGTTCAACTTACACCTTCAACAGTACATATCTTTTGAAATACAGGCTTGAAAAGCATTAATTTAACACAAACACTAAAATATAAGAAAATAATTAATAAAATTCAAAGAAAAGATGTAGAAAATAAAACAAGAGGCACTCAAAGAATAATAGAAACGCATGAACAGACTGCATTTTGTGCCTTCTGACTTTTGTGTTTTTTCTGAACTGTAAGACGCGTTGCAGGTTGCAGCCATCCTCTTGACTTCAGGCACTAAAACTCTCTGCATCTTGCTGCGTCTGCACGCAAACCGGATAGCCAATTAAACAGAGCGAGCTTATCACACGCGCAGCGGATTGGCAAACCAGCACGCTTCTTTTTTTCCTCTCCCTGACCTTAAACAGGACTTGGCAGGTGGACAGGAAACTGCAGCTCTCGCTTTCCCTGTAGGGCGCATTTCGAGACCACTGGAGCCGCGCGCGACTGCGTTTGCATATATCCAACAACAGGACGATGTCAGGCTTGAATCGCTCGTTCTACCTGCTGAGGAGTGTGATGAGACACCAAATCACACCCAAAGCGAATATTTCAGCCAAGCCAGCCAAGCATGTGCTGTCCGCTGGGGTGAGTATGAGTAGACTTCCACGCGAATACAAGCTTGCGCACTTTGACCAGACTGACGGAGTGCGCAACAGTGTGACGCCCTGTGAAAAAATATGTTTACATGTAATACCTGAATAGGCGAAGCTATGCAAGTATGACATGAATACCTGTATAGAAATAATATCTGACCCGGTGTAATTAAAAGTGAGACGGGACAAATTCGATAACTCCATTGATTGTATTTGTGCGCTCGCGTACAGTGTGGAGATGGCGCGTGGGTGGGTTTTCTGTCATAACAACATTTTCGTACCCTGTAAAATTAAGAAAGTAATTTTAGAGTCTTTAATTATTGGGTTTGAAATGCTTCGTGGCCTTATACGTTTCTGGAAAACAGCCAATTGTATGACCTTCTCGGACAAATAAAGTCGTCCTGTTGGGAAGTCTTCCAGCTCAAATGTTTTCAATCCTTGTTTAACCTGAGACCCAGCTATGGAGTTGTTGCCTCTGTAGTGGACATTCTATTCGAGTGAATGTCTCTGAGACCTCACATGCCACAGCTTTAAGTCTGGATGTCCTGTACAGAGCACATTCAGGGCTTTCCACCATCATCACTCCCTCTCCTTGGTTTTTAAAAATGCCTGACATTGATTTAGTGATAAAATTGTACATCCTTATGAAAATATGATAATATTTTGTAATTACAATTTAAAACTGGTGAATTTTCTAATTGTTTGTCATAAATCAACATCTCAGGGAAATGTTATGGGGTTTCAAATAAAAATATGACTTCTTGAAATATTAGATATTATTATGACAATCTGGCCAATTACTACTCCCATTATTACACTTCTTTTTTCAACATGCTGTGCCAACAGCACTTTAATATGCAAATGAGATACAGTGTATAGATAACATTGTGCTTAGTGGGAAAGCCAGTTTATGGAATTTTTACACACATATTGCATAAAGCAAAATTGTATATCAAATCATTTTGTTATATGTTTTATAACATCCTTAAATAAAGTTAGGTATAAAAAAAATCCTGAAACCTAAAAATTGATTGGTGATTAAAAAAAAAAAAATCCCATTGTTTTTGCCTTTTCATGTCTATTCTTGTCTTTTTTTTTTTTTTTAGAAAAACTGAGTCCTGGTGTCCTCTACAGAGGACATAGCATAACATATGAATAAAATATATTTTTCAAAAATGTTATTTTACCATTTTTTTCTTATGCTCTAAACAATGTAATGACATGAAAAAATACTAGATTCACAAAGCTTTTTATTTCTGGTTCTCAGGTTAATGCTGGTTTACTAGCCTGGACCAGCTAAAAACCAATTTAGACCAGCTAATCCAGCTACTATGTCCCAAAACACAAATACCTCAGATGTATTTTATTTTCCATCTGGGGTAAGTTAGTTGTGCACTGCTACGTTTTGCCCAAATAAAAATCGCATAATAGTCTCTAAGGGAAAAGGCACCAAAAATATAGCCAGCTTGAGTTTAATGCATGGGAAAATAGCTTGGCTAGTTTATTTAAAAAAAAAAAAAGAAAAAAAGTCTAGACTAATATAGTTCAGCATCTGATGACCGTCTTTGCGTTCTCAATGCAGGAGCAAATCTTTGTAATGATGACCATGTTCGTGACCATCCTGGGCCCCTCTGGATGGATCCTGACAAATCTGGAGGAGTACAAGAAACGTCCCGGCGCAGCTGAATAAGAACCGTCTGCCTCTGAGCTCTCCTTCTTGAGAAGACTATTTAACCTTGTTAAGAATGTTTTAATAAATGAATGTCCTTGAACGCTTCAACTGGTGGCACTGGTCTGTATCGAATAAAATACTTTATAATTTTAAATTGCATTCTGCATACAACACATGTGTTAAAAGACATAAGTCAACATAACTGAACTTAAAACTGAAATTAAGATTTGCTAAATTGAGGAGCTAAACTATTGCAATAAGCACACTAATTCACACGCACTTGTGGTGGTGTCCAATTTGCAATAAGCAGGAAATATTTTTTCCCGTAGATTAACCATTTAAATTCTGAGGATTTTTTTTAAAATCTAGACATACAAATAATGTATGTTTGACGGGTAAACCAGTTGTATGTTATACGGAACAAATCTGGAAAGGAATCCTGCCATCGACCCTTTTCACAGACTGTGATGACACGTTTCCAGTTTTTTTATATTTTCATTATTAACAACAACAACAACAAAAAGTACATTTATAACATTTTGTGTTATGTAACCTTAAATTACAGAATTAAATTAAATTACAGAAAATTGGTTAATGCCGCTGGGCGAGTGTTTCTAACACTCTCTCTCTTCTGTCCAATCTCTCAATACTTTTTCCTCTTTTGTAGTCATAGAAATGCTATCGTGGATTTTTTCTTTGCAATTGAAGCAAATAGGAACACAAATCTGTTGTTTCTGATCACCACTATAGACGTTACCCAACTACGATGATTTCCGCTTCTGAGGCCCAGAAAAACGTGAAAAGGATCCATTATTAAAAGATGACCTTAAAGTTACTGTAGAGTGCAGATGAATTATGCGGATTCAGTATTTGAAATGGTTTTTATAGAAACTGGAAATGTACCTTGCTTCTGACACGTTGCTAGTATACAAAATGAATCAAAATGTGCAAAGCTGCAAAACATATCTAATTAAACCAAGATCAGATATTGTAAATAAAAAGTCACAAAACTAACATTTCTTAAATACAAGGCTGAAGGAAAACATCGTCGTCTATTCTCTATTATGATTTTGCACTCAGCACTGCTCCATTGTTTCAGTGCAGGATGTGGGCGGTGTAGGAGTGGGAGTAACTGGACTTCAAATTAGATTTTGGAGTTCACTGAGGTCACACGTTCCCAAATGTAAAGAAGCAAACTACTGTATTTTTAGGGTTTCGCTTTAACAGTGCTGTTCTCAACAGTCAATACAGATCTATAATTAACAGACCTATTGATGACAAATGCGTGTGATTGTGGTTCAGATGAGTAGAGAAAAAAAAAAAATTTCAACAGTCAGACTCAAAATGCTAAAAGGGATAGTTCAACCAAAAAGTAAGATCTGTCATCATTTACTCACCCTCATGCCGTGTCCGATTTTCTTCTGCGGAACACAAAAGAAGATATTTTAAGGAACATTTTTAGCCCACGGCATAGAATTATTTTGAGGGGGTGAACTATCCCTTTACATTTTATATTGCATATAAAAACCAAAAGAATGATTGTGAAAACAAGTTGCTTTAATGACATAAAGATACACATATCACATAAAGAATCAAGACTCAGGGAGAATGCAACGCAAGGGAACATTTGGATGGGACAGACAGTGTGAAGGACATTTCTAAGTGAGGATGTCCTGAGCCTGGTGTTCCACCAATATGGCCATGTTCTTAACATCCCCACACCAGAAGTCCAGACGATCCTTCATGCCCTTAATCTGTGGAGATGGGAAAAACACTGGGTTGGCCGTAGAAAAAGCAAATGCATGTGTATATAATGCCTCGTTGAGTTGGACGTACCTGCTGCACATCCAGTACTCTGGGCTGAACCCAAGTCATGTGCACTTTATGCTCCACCTCGTCGATGCTTCCCTTGATCAGTCCAACAGACAGAGCTTTCATCACCAACAGCTCCACCTAAGAGAAAGGATAAGGATAAAACCATCTCACAGACACAGATTAAGTCTGGTCCTGGATTAAAAACACTTCTATGGTGACTGAAAACACCTCATTATTACTATCTTTAACCTGAGTCTGGCAATGTGTCTATTTGAAGATATCTTAGCCAACAACAACAAAAAAAAAGGAAAATAATTATTTTATTTTCTATTTAATGTTGTCTATCCATAATGCTGTATCTATTCATATATTAATAATACATTAAGAGAGCGAGAGAGAGAAAACAAACCTCATTCACTTGGATTTTTGCACTCTGTGCAATTTCCTGGAACGTCAGCTGCCTGTGATTGGCTGGCCGTGTGAAAGTCATCTATGAAGACAATCAATCATTAACTGTTTTAGCTTGGTTACTCCATAATGACTCTTCCTGTGCAGCTTAATTAGTAAATAATGATGTACCTTAACAAAATTACAATATATACATTTGGAGTCAATTACCAGCTTATTACATTTTTAATAAATAGCATTTATACCTCCATGACACAGAGTAACTGGATCTTCTGCATGAGTTTGGCCTCTTGAGCTGCAAGATCAGGCTTTGAGGAGAGAAAAACAAAAATTCATGCAGGTTCACACAGCAACAACATTGATGAATTTGAAAAACACTTGCACTCTGTGCAAAAATGGTGTTTCATGTACATTTAATAATAATAATAATAATAATAATAATAATAATAATAATAATAATAATAATAATAATAATAATAATAATAATAATAATAATAATAATAATAATAATAAAAAGTACATTTTGACTCAGTGTTGCCAGATCTTGCTAGGAAACCCCCCCCCAGCAAATAAGAACAAGCCCACTTTAATACAAGCCAGACAAACCAAAATATCGCAACCTGCACCTGCCAACATTATTAACTCCATAACCTGGATTGCTTTATGAGCTAAGATTAAAGAAGCTTAATAAACATCACTTATAATATAAGTACATTTTGACTCAGTGTTGCCAGATCTTGCTAGGAACCCCCCCCCAGCAAATAAGAACAAGCCCACTTTAATACAAGCCAGACAAACCAAAATATCGCAACCTGCACCTGCCAACATTAATAACTCCATAACCTGGATTGCTTTATGAGCTAAGATTAAAGAAGCTTAATAAACATCACTTATAATAAGTGGACATGACAACACTTTAGAAGTGCGCTTCTTACAAACGAGTCTCAGGTCAAAATATTACTTCAGTCAAAATTAGCAGATGCCAAACGTGCGAGACGCCAGAACGTTGCTATGGTTAACCGTGGTTGTCACTCCTGAAACTTTACAGTGTGAACATGGTGTCAATCTTAGCAATTTCGAGAGTGAGTTCTGTACACACAAAACCATTATTTAGAGCAGTGGTTCTCAAACTGGGGTATGTGAGATGACGGTGGGGGGTACGCGAACAGAGTTTTGGCATTCATTTAATACCCCAACTTAAAGCAACATTAAAACCGAACGCATTTCTGACAAGCAAAATGCCGCTTCTAATGTAAAAACAGGAAAATGGGGGTGCCGTAAACGGTCAAATACATGATATCCAATCAGCTTACCTCAACTTTTGCGGTCAAAACTGATTGCATCCACACAAGCAGCATGCATGTGATAGGATGGCCGCTGAATATGCTGCTTTAGCAAATCATGCTGCTGTTCAATGTATCTTTAAAGTAGATCTTCACTTAAATATTGACACGCACTGTACATTGAGATCGATTTAAACTCTCTTAGATAGACACACTCTGTGCGTGTTATTGTTTTCATGTTTAAGATACGATCAAGAATGCAAATTTCCCCGAATATCTAAACGATGGCAAATGTGCCATTAAGTTTTACAACAGTTCAACAAAAAAGGTAATATTAAGTGAACATATTACATTTTAAATGTAGCCTACATTTTGAACAGAATATTGTCACGTTTGTTCTGTTTTGCAACGAAATAATAGTTCCAACGAAATCCGTATCATCTGGTGTGCGTCTCCAAGCATCATACAGCGGTGTTTCGTTAGTGAACGAATCTGCGGCTTTGAACGATTTGGAGAGTCAGTGATTAATAACCCATTCATAACTACAGCATTTTGCTTTGTTACTGAATGAATGAATGACGCGATGCCTGGCTCATTAAGACAGCGACTTGCCGCCACTTATTGGCCGTTTTATTTTTAAATCTACAAGTATCACTTCGATTTGGCATCATTTATTGCTTTATATATTATATTCATAATACACTTAATGAAATGTTAAGAATATGACATAAAACATACAATTAGTAAGGATATAAAATATTTGCCTCTGTAAATGTAAAAACTGCACCTGTAAATCAATTTAAGGGTGCAAATATTGTCCATTAATAGAAAAGGTGTGACTGCGGTCTAAGTGGAAGAGAGGGGGTATGCAGAAGAATGTTAAATACCCCAGGGGGTACGCCGCTGTAAAACGTTTGAGAACCACTGATTTAGAGGATTCACTCACATATTTAAAGGGGTCATATGATGCGATTTCAAGTTGTCCTTTCTCTTTGGAGTGTTACAAGCTGATTGTGCATAGATAAGATCCCTGAAGTTGCAAAGACTAAAGTCTCAAAACCAAAGAGATATTCTTTATCAAAGTTAAGACTCTGCCACGCCCCCCTAAAACGGCTCGTTCTAACACGCCCCCACATATCTACCTCACTATGTGGAAATATTTGCATAATGCCGCCCAAATGTGCACGCAAAGAAAGAAGGCGTGGTTTCAGTAACCACAGTTAGTGTTGAAGCAGCATGTCAGGGAAACGCTGTGTGTTTCTAGGCGAAAGCAAAAGCACTTTATTTGGCCTTCCGAAAGTAGATGCATTTAGGGATCTTTAAGATTACTTACAACAGAACAGTGATGCATTTTATGGACAACCGTTTCGTGAACCTAAGAGAGGAGGTAATTCTGACTTTGCTATGACAATCCGGCGCTTCTGAATCAGCTACTGTTTCGTTATTAGTTTAAGTATTTGCTATTGACTGTCCAAATGAAGAGTTTTGCACATCGTGTGTGTGTGTGTGTGTGGCATCATATGACCCCTTTAAATGTGGTTGTCACTCCTGAAACTTTACAGTGTGAACATGGTCAATGAACTGAGGTTCTAAAATGACCGACTGAATTATTATTATTACAAGTTATTAGACGCATGGGTAAATCTAATCAGAATCGCCTCTTACCTGTGTTCGAAATCACTGAGGAAGTTTTCATAGAGCTGTGGAAAGCAAATACAAACTTTTAAAAGGTTTCACAACACATTTCTAACGTGTGCAAATGCTGCTGAATCCTGATCTGATACTGTACCTGAATGAGAGTGTCCCCTTTGGAGAAATAGGGGTCCAGCACAAAGACGGTCAACTTCAGAGTCAACTGATGCCACAATCTGTCAAAAGAGAAAGACATAGATACATGTAAATGAATCTGTTCATCTGTCTATCAACCCATTTATATATAAACCTATATCTATGAATAAACTGATGGGCTGATATTTTAAGTCAAGCAGTTCAGTCAGGTACTGATTTGACAGGTTAACAACGTGTAAATGAATAAGGCATGATTTAAAGCAGTATATTACATTAAAAATATATTTACTACATAACTTTGTAAAGCCTCAATACATCTGATCTCAGATGAAACACCTGAAAACAACAACACCAGTACAGACCAGACATCTCACTTCAGCAATGACTTGCTAGCCACATAAACACGCCAGAGCTCATGTTACAATAACTGCAACAACAAATATGAAGCCAACACTGTCTTTAAACACATTCCAAGTGGACTAGGTAGATTATACGCATTTGCATAACTAATATAAGTCGCCTTTAGCTTAGCATGCTAAATGACTCAGCTAGCAAACATCATTCATACTTTCTGTTGTACAGATCCTCCAGTGAGTGCCACTCCGAGGCCATCTCAGGCGTCGGGCTCTTGCTCTGCTGTTGTTTGAGGTATCCGATGACATCTTTCATCTTGAATGTAGATGTTTGAGTGTTTGAGGAAGAAAAATGAAGCTCTCGCTGCTGTCACGAATCAATCTACACCAATAAACTGAATGGACGCCGAGCAGAACAGCGCGCTAGCGCCACATAGAGGTGTGGAGGCAGGGTTGCCAAGTTCCAGAAAAATACCAATACGAAGCTGACTCAAACAGTGTTGCCAACTTAGCAATTTTGTTGCTAAATTTAGCAACTTTTCAGACTACCCTAGCAACATATTTAGCTATTTTTTAAAATGAATTTGGCAACTTTTAGCAACTTTTGATAAGTGACTCAAACAATAAAAAGGCACAATTTACCATTTAAATTACACAAAAAGAGAAAATCCAAAGATGCTTAGCAGTACACACATCCTATCCGTTGTAACCCGAAAATGCGTAATTAAATATGCAGGTAAAAAAAGAACCTGTGGAAAAAACAATACAGAAAATTCCTTCATATTAACATAGTAGATTGTGCACTATTTTTTTTTACAGACTTTTCTTAGAGTGTAGCATACCAATACACTGCTGAAAAGTGTAATTGTTCAGAATTTGTTGTTTTACTTGTTTACTAGCTAATAATAATAATAAAAAAAAACGTAAATTGTAATCGTTCAAATATGTGTAAGCTTTCGATAACTCAGTGTATTTAAAAATCGTTATTTATATTTTAATATTATATTATTCATTTATATTATTATGAACAAATCTAAATGAACACATAAAAATATATGTTTTTGCTGAGATTTGACCATTTTGCGTCGTGATTACGTAATGACGTCATCCCTCAATGACATCACAACATCATTTAGCAACTTTTAGCAACAAATCAACCTTCCTTTAGCAACTTCCCCTGAAAATTAGTTGGCAACACTGGACTTTACCTGCATATTTAATTACGCATTTTCGGGTTACAACGGATAGTGTCCTGGAAAATTACTAGCACCTTTTCCATTTTTCTACATATTTTTCTTACAGTGTACTAACTGTTAGTACACTGTAAGAAAAATATGTAGAAAAATGGAAAAGGTGCTAGTAATTTTCCAGGACACTATCCGTTGTAACCCGAAAATGCGTAATTAAATATGCAGGTAAAAAAAGAACCTGTGGAAAAAACAATACAGAAAATTCCTTCATATTAACATAGTAGATTGTGCACTATTTTTTTTTACAGACTTTTCTTAGAGTGTAGCATACCAATACACTGCTGAAAAGTGTAATTGTTCAGAATTTGTTGTTTTACTTGTTTACTAGCTAATAATAATAATAAAAAAAAAACGTAAATTGTAATCGTTCAAATATGTGTAAGCTTTCGATAACTCAGTGTATTTAAAAATCGTTATTTATATTTTAATATTATATTATTCATTTATATTATTATGAACAAATCTAAATGAACACATAAAAATATATGTTTTTGCTGAGATTTGACCATTTTGCGTCGTGATTACGTAATGACGTCATCCCTCAATGACATCACAACATCATTTAGCAACTTTTAACAACAAATCAACCTTCCTTTAGCAACTTCCCCTGAAAATTAGTTGGCAACACTGGACTCAAAAGTTGAGTCAAAACCCGCCCAAATGGAACATCTCCTCTGATATTTTCAGGTCTCAGACAAGACTATTATTAAACACACACACACACACACACACACACACATTCCTCTTTACTTTTCTTCTCTTCACATGAACTCTTGTTTTGTCTACACACAAGCAGAATCAATGTGTAAGTAATTTACAGTGCTAATGTGGGCAAAACACACATAATCTCTAGTTTGTGACGTGACATTAAAGAGACCCTATAAAATCTCAGCGGTCCTTAGTAGGCCTGTTCATTCCGAGGAGCAATGCATATTAGTAAAAGTATCAATTTCTTTTGGCGGCAGTGGTACTTCAAATCTATGCTTTCATGTTGTTTACCCCAAATTCTGCCCCACCATCAGAATGTCTCAGAATGGGAAATCCAGGCTTATCAGACCAGGCAACTTTTGTAGTGTCCAATTTTAGTGAGCCTGTGCGAATTGTAACCTCAGTTTCCCATAATTTTTTTTTTAAATATTTTATTTTGCTTTTGAACTGTAATATAAACAAAAAATACAAAGCACAACTTTTTGCACAAGACAGGACAATACAAGACAAAAAGGAAAAAATTAATAAAAAATTGGGATGATACAGGATATCATAGTTATTACTGTGTAAAACCTCACTCGAAAAGAGAATCCATCCGGTCAATTGAAGTGTCTTCCATATAACGGAAAAGGGGTTGCCAAATTTTATAAAATACTTTACTTATATTTCTTAGCCAGTATGTAAATTTTTCCAAGGGTATACAGTTATTAACATCAGATAACCATAGACTTATGGGAATAACAGTATCAGAGTTCCACTTCATTGCAATGCACTTCTTAGCAATTATTAGTAGAATTTCTGTGAGTCTTATGGCATGATCTTGAGTAATATTGGAATTGGTGTAATTACCCAATAAACATATTGTTGGAAATCAGTTTCCCATTCTTAGCTGACAGGAGTATCGGTGTGGTCTTCTGCTGCTGCTTCAATGTTCGACGTGTTGTGTGTTCAGAGATGCTCTACTCCTGCATATCTCGGTTGTTAAGAGTGGTTATTTGAGTTACTGTTGCCTTTCTATCAGCTCAAATCAGGCTTGCTATTCTCCTCTAACCTCTGGCATCAACAAGGCATTTTCACCCATAGAACTGCCTCTCACTGGACATTTCTCTGAACCATTCTCTGTAAAACCTATGGTTGTGCATGAAAATCCCAGCAGATCAGCAGTTCCTGAAGTACTCAGACCAGCCCGTCTGGCACCAACAACCAGGCCATGTTCAAAGTCACTTAAATCCCCTGTCTTCCCCATTCTGATTCTCAGTTTGAACGTCTTGATCATGTCTACATGCCTAAATGCATTGAGTTGCCATGTGATTGGCTAACTAATTAGATATTTGTGTTAACAAGCAGTTGAACATACATACAGACAGACATACTTATATATACAGTACATACATACGTATACACACATACATATATGAATAAACAGCATTAATGATATGAAAATATCAACATAAAATTGTATTAAAGGGGTGGTTCTTTTTTTTCTAGGCTTGATTGTGTTTATGGGGTGCAGTCTAACATGTGTTAACGCTTATTTTTCACATAATTTACCTTTATTCCACACCACTCTGTGCCTTGTCTGAGAAACGTGCTGATCATTTCCTGCTTTTATGAAGCCCCACCCTCAGAAATAGGCGATGGGCTCTGATTGGTTAGCTAGCCCAGTGTTTTGTGATTGGCAAAACCGTCCCGCCCCTCACCTCAGCGGCATGTGCTCCGGTTGTATTGTAAACAACGGCGTTGTTAATATCGCTTATCAGTTTGAGCCCGATTGAGAAGCAGAGGATATTATTGAAGAGGATCGTGCAGAACCTGCGCAAGCACGGCTTTTAATGGTAGGCCTATTTCTTTTTTTGTTGTTGTCTCATACTTTTAGATATGCTGTTATTTGTAAATGCTACTGCTTATGTTAGCTTTTAATATACGGTTTTATCCTGATTAAAGCTTTAATACAGTACGGCAACTGCACGCGCGTCCATGTTTAACGCTTCTCAAAGCTATGTGAAAATAAGTGTATAATTGTAACAGTTCATTGTTGGAGCTGAGCTGAATGTGAGAGAGAGCGAGAGAGAGAGAGATGCAGAGCGTGTGCAGAGCAGGGGACGCGAGGAACAGTATTAAGAACACTTCTTTCGAACATTGATTTTGAAACTTGTGAATCCATTAGAATGTTAGAAGACAGAAAAGCGATTCATATATGAATAGATTTTTACGTGCACCTCTAGTTTTCTCTTCCTCTTCTCTAAAGGAGCACAGCATGGCCTCGCCCCCTTTGCAGCCTTTTTCCGAGGGCGGGGTTTATCAGGATTTGTTACGTCACAAACCCAGGAAGTAACTTGTTGTAGTCCCTACCAGCCGTTTTTGTAGGCATT